CCGCACTTAAGGCAGAACCCCAGTTCTTAACGAGTTTAAAAATAACACATAAATGTCGGACCCAGAGCCGCTAATTTTGTCATGAAGCAAAGTAACATTTCTATGTTATAAATTGTTCATTTGATGGAATAGTTGCAACACTTCTCCTTAAATCCGTATTTTCATCCCTCAGTGACCTTCTTATTTTAGCTTCTTATCTAAAGCCGCTGGGCGGCTTGTATTGCGGGTCTACTCTGGCACCATGAATTCGATTCCATCGTCTGGTTTTCTTTCATCAATACTCAATAATATGGATACACTAACCGCACCTTGTTTCTCACCATTTCAAACTACACATGAAGACGATAGGGTAAGTTTGAGATCATTTCGCGTTTGTTCATTTGTATTATCTGTTTTAGTGATAGTCTTTTTTAGAAACAGGATTCACCACTACTCAATCTGCCTAGTAATGTTTTAGACAATATAGTTTCGTTCATACCACTTAAAGGTAAAGAATTTTGAGAACTTCGACTCTGCCATTCATTTTTCCGTTGTAGTTCGTACCCTCCTCGTCGCTCCTGTATGTCGTGCCCTTCGAGATAGTGTATACCGTTCCATAACCTCGGTTGCTTTCTACAAGACACAGCTAGATGAGCTTAGCGATACCAGGATCAAGTACTTTTTGAGCATACATGGTCATAAGATAACTGCCATCAATTTCGATCTATTCCGATCAGTTGAAGACGAGGTCGATTTTTTTGTTTCTATTATCACTTAGAAGAATCATTACCTAGATTAAGTAAAAAACTTTTTTAGGTCTATTTTGTAAATGAATTTCAGGCATGTACTCAATGGAATTGGCGGCAGTCTGTGATAACTGCTGTTAAAATGTGCAGCAACCTCAGGGAGCTTGATATACTCGTCTGTAAACGCCATCGTCTCAGAGATACCGATTTGCTTACAGTTAGAGCATTTTGGAATTTCTTTTTTCTCGCACAATTTGTTCATGTTCAGATATTTCGAGAATGTCCTCAGCTCCAAGTGCTTTGCATTGACGCCCAGTACCTAAGCGGACATTGCTTCCAGGTAAAGGTTTTGATGAGTTTGTTCCCTTTGTAAGTGCATTCCATTAAAATGGGTTCCTCAATTGCTAGGTCGCTCCACTCGGCTTACAACGTCTGGAACTAGAAATGTGCTTGCGACTATCTGAGCCATCAATGAGATCGATATTCACTCGCCTTAAAAAACTGAAGGTGGTTTTTGTTGTTGTGTTTCTATGCTTTGTTCATTAAGGTCATTTAGGTCCTATACATATCTGAACTGAGAATTCTCAAAGATTCGATAGTTTCGGGACTAGCGAGCAATTTGAAAAATCTCCGAGATCTTTCAATCATTGCAAATCCTGAGTCTTCAAACATAGGTATAGTAGTCAAATTCCCAGTAAATTGCAGGTTTTTGTTGATCTTACGATTTCTTTTTTAGATCTCTCAGCATCTGGCTTGACGCATTTGGCTCGCCTGCCAAGGCTGCAAAATCTTTGCCTTGAGGGACTAGCAGCAGTTACAGATCGGTTTCTTTCTGTAAGTTGGGCGAACATCGTAACCTTGACGTTTCTGCTTTATCATGAAA